TTATATATATACAGTGATTGGTGATGTGATACACCGGTGGATCTCTTCGTGCCGTGTGTTGCACAAAAGCTAAGTGGAGATCCTTCCTTCCTTCCTTCCTCCCTTCCTTCCTTCCCTGCATTCTGAAAGAGTCCGCCACGTGCGATTGAGATGTCATGCTTGGAGTGGACACATTGTCCTCTGAGTGCAAGAAAGAAGTGTGGTCTCCTCTTTGGTCCTGTTGAGTGCCGCACCACCCGCGATTTGATATCAAGCCTGCAAGCTTCCACTGGCTCAAGCCCGCGGTCGGCCTCCAAAGCCCACCTGCGGCCGCCCCTCCAGCCCGCCCACACCGCAGCATATTTCACCGTGGCCATGTTGGCTCAAGAGTTACCAGCGACCTCTGACGTGCAAGACGTCGGGGGATCGAAACCGTGTGGTCGGCGGAGCTCTGACAGCAGTCAAGCAAACTGCAGTACTGCTACTGGGAGACCTTTTTGATGAGGTAAAACCGTGCTTATATACAGTGATTGGTGATGTGACACACCGGTGGGTCTCTTCGTGCCGTGTGTTGCACAAAAGCTAAGTGGAGATCTTTCCTTCCTTCCTTCCTCCCTTCCTTCCTTCCCTGCATTCTGAAAGAGTCCGCCACGTGCGATTGAGATGTCATGCTTGGAGTGCACACATTGTCCTCTGAAGTGCAAGAAAGAAGTGTGGTCTCCTCTTTGGTCCTGTTGAGTGCAGCACCACCCGGGATTTGACCTCAAGCCTGCAAGCTTCCAAGACTAAATCCTTATGGGCGCGCACAGTTGAGTGGTTGAGTGGGTCTTCAGTGCCGTAGGCCTCTGGCTCAAGCCTCGGTGTCAGCCTCCAGCGTCAAGGGGATTCAAGCTTCCAAGGTGGAGCCTCCAACTCACCCTCCCTGCCTCCCTCGCTCACTCACTCACTCACTCACTCACCGCAAATACTTTATTTAGAGGTGGAATCACTCATTGCTATTTTGATGCCAGGGGACTTCAGGACTACCCCCTTTGCACGATTGATTTCCAGCATTTTTTATAAAGGGGTTTAGAAAGGAAATCGACCATTTGAGTAATCTTGGATTTTGTAAACTTCAGAACATTTCAGAAAAAGATTTGAAGTCTATAGCTTCCAGCTCAAAGGGGATTCAAGTTCCAGAAAGGGTTTTAGAAAGGGCTGCACCAGAAAAACACAGGGGCAGTATTTTAGAATACTTTATTTAGGGGGGGCCTCTAAATAAAGTATTTGCCTCATGCGGTTATGAGTTGAATATTTTCCTTAAGATGGAATCAAGTAGGAAAGGAATTGAGAAAAGCATTCAACCAACAAAATTTAGACCCCCTAAAATCCAAATACTTCATTTAGGGGTGGAATCATTCATTACTATTTTGATGCCAGGGGACTTCAGGACTACCCCCTTTGCACGATTGATTTCCAGCATTTTTTATCAGGGGTTTAGTAAGGAAATCGACCATTTGAGCCATCCTGGATTTTGTGAACTTCAGAACATTTCAGAAAAGATTTGAAGTTTATAGCTTCCAGCTCAAAGGGGATTCAAGGTTCCAGAAAGGGTTTTAGAAAGGGCTGCACCAGAAAAACACAGGGGCAGTATTTTAGAATACTTTATTTAGGGGGGGCCTCTAAATAAAGTATTTGCCTCATGCGGTTATGAGTTGAATATTTTCCTTAAGATGGATTCAAGTAGGAAAGGAATTGAGAAAAGAATTCAACCAACAAAATTTGGACCCCCTAAAATCCAAATACTTTATTTAGGGGTGGAATCATTCATTACTATTTTGATGCCAGGGGACTTCAGGACTACCCCCTTTGCACGATTGATTTCCAGCATTTTTTATCAGGGGTTTAGTAAGGAAATCGACCATTTGAGCCATCCTGGATTTTGTGAACGTCAGAACATTTCAGAAAAGATTTGAAGTTTATAGCTTCCAGCTCAAAGGGGATTCAAGGTTCCAGAAAGGGTTTTAGAAAGGGCTGCGCCAGAAAAACACAGGGGCAGTATTTTAGAATACTTTATTTAGGGGAGGCCTCTAAATAAAGTATTTGCCTCATGCGGTTATGAGTTGAACATTTTCCTTAAGATGGATTCAAGTAGGAAAGGAATTGAGAAAAGAATTCAACCAACAAAATTTAGACCCCCTAAAATCCAAATACTTTATTGAGGGGTGGAATCATTCATTACTATTTTGATGTCAGGGGACTTCAGGACTACCCCCTTGCACGGATGATTTCCAGCATGGTATCAGGGGTTAGTAAGGAAATCGACCATTGAGCCATCCTGGATTTTGTTGAACTTTAGAAACATTTACAGAAAAAGATTTTGAAGTTTAAGTTCCAGCTCAAAGGAGATTCAATGGTTCCAGAAAAAGGGTTTTTAGAAAGGGTGGCACCAGGGGAGACAAAACACAAGGGGCAGTATTTTTAGAATACTTTATTTAGGGGGGGGCCTCTAACAATAAAGTATTTGCGTCATGCGGTTATGAGTTGAATATTTTCCTTAAAATGGGATTTTTCAGTAGGAAAGGAATGAGAAAAGAATTTCAACCAACCAAATTGGACCCCTAAAATCCAAATACTTTATTGAGGGTGGAATCATTCATTACTATTTTGATGCCAGGGGACTTCAGGACTACCCCCTTTGCACGATTGATTTCCAGCATTTTTTATCAGGGGTTTAGTAAGGAAATCGACCATTTGAGCCATCCTGGATTTTGTGAACTTCAGAACATTTCAGAAAAGATTTGAAGTTTATAGCTTCCAGCTCAAAGGAGATTCAAGGTTCCAGAAAGGGTTTTAGAAAGGGTTGCACCAGAAAAACACAGGGGCAGTATTTTAGAATACTTTATTTAGGGGGGGGCCTCTAAATAAAGTATTTGCGTCATGCGGTTATGAGTTGAATATTTTCCTTAAGATGGATTCAAGTAGGAAAGGAATGAGAAAAGAATTCAACCAACAAAATTTGGACCCCCTAAAATCCAAATACTTTATTGAGGGGTGGAATCATTCATTACTATTTTGATGCCAGGGGACTTCAGGACTACCCCCTTTGCACGATTGATTTCCAGCATTTTTTATCAGGGGTTTAGTAAGGAAATCGACCATTTGAACCATCCTGGATTTTGTGAACTTTAGAACATTTCAGAAAAGATTTGAAGTTTATAGCTTCCAGCTCAAAGGGGATTCAAGGTTCCAGAAAGGGTTTTAGAAAGGGTTGCACCAGAAAAACACAGGGGCAGTATTTTAGAATACTTTATTTAGGTGGGGCCTCTAAATAAAGTATTTGCCTCATGCGGTTATGAGTTGAATATTTTCCTTAAGATGGATTCAAGTAGGAAAGGAATTGAGAAAAGAATTCAACCAACAAAATTTGGACCCCCTAAAATCCAAATACTTTATTTAGGGGTGGAATCATTCATTACTATTTTGATGCCAGGGGACTTCAGGACTACCCCCTTTGCACGATTGATTTCCAGCATTTTTTATCAGGGGTTTAGTAAGGAAATCGACCATTTGAGCCATCCTGGATTTTGTGAACGTCAGAACATTTCAGAAAAGATTTGAAGTTTATAGCTTCCAGCTCAAAGGGGATTCAAGGTTCCAGAAAGGGTTTTAGAAAGGGCTGCGCCAGAAAAACACAGGGGCAGTATTTTAGAATACTTTATTTAGGGGAGGCCTCTAAATAAAGTATTTGCCTCATGCGGTTATGAGTTGAACATTTTCCTTAAGATGGATTCAAGTAGGAAAGGAATTGAGAAAAGAATTCAACCAACAAAATTTAGACCCCCTAAAATCCAAATACTTTATTGAGGGGTGGAATCATTCATTACTATTTTGATGTCAGGGGACTTCAGGACTACCCCCTTGCCTTGGCTCAGGACAGGAGAAAGTTTCAGAAAAGTGGAAGAAAGGAAGACCTTTCTTTCACTTTTCGGAAACTTTCTCTTGTCCTGAGCCAAGGCAAAGTGACTTTCCAGCCAGTTTGTCTTGGCTCAGGACACGCGAACCTTTCAGAAAAGTGAAAGGAAGGAGATGAGGTGGCTTCAGGGAGAGTGTGATTCAGAGAAAAGGAACTGGTTCCTTTATTTAAGGGTTGAAAACATTCATCATTATTTCGGGGTTTGGGGGCTTCAGGGCTATCCCCTTTGCGAGGTGGAGCCTCTGAGCTTGAACTGAGCGTGTCGAGCTTCTTCAGATGCCTCCTTTTAGCAAATTTCAGCAGCCCTGACGGATTTAGAGGGGTTTTCGAATGTTCGAGGGTTTCTGGATCCGTTGAAAGGAACTGAGAACTGTTGCTATACTTTTGGTGGAGGCTTTGGAGTTGAGCTCCATTTGAGAAGCGGCTGAGTTGCGTTTTCATATCTTTTGACAGTTGACCGAGTTCGACGAAGTGAGAACTTGAGTGAAAAACGTCGGGTCGAGACGCAGGCGAGATAAACTACTACCTACTACTACCTACTACTACCTACTACTACCTACTACTACCTACTACTACCTACTACTACCTACTACTACCTACTACTACCTACTACTACCTACTACTACCTGCTACTACTACTACTACTACTCCTGCTACTACTACTACTACTACTACTACTACTACTACATTCGGGTTCGTGGCTTCCATCTTGTTTCGGGGGACTCACGTGCATCTTCCACGCTTGAGCTGGGAGAGTCTTATGTTTTCAACAGTTGCAGATTGCTTTCACCTTCTTTCTGTTCAGCAGCTTTGTGATTTTACATCTTCCACGCTTGAGCTGAGACATGTTTTCAGCAGTTGCAGATTGCCAGCAGCTTTGTGATTTTGCATTTTCTCGGCTTAAGCTGAGAGAGTCTTAGTGGGTCGATGTTTTCAACAGTTTCAGATAGCTATCGCATTTCAACAGTTCAGCAGCTTGGCAGCAAACCAAGTACATATTCAGACAAGCAACATGCTCAGCGGTGCAACTCTTTTAGGGAGCACTGTTCAAGACACTGCTTTCACCATGGCTGATCCGGAGGACGGTTTTCTTTTGTGAAGCTTGTGAAACGAAACTTGTTGAGCTCAAGAGTTGCTTTCAGCTGGTTATTCCTTGCTAATTTCTGAAGCCTATTCAGTTCACAGCTGCGGCAGGAGAAACTTCAGGAGGCTTTGAAGTTGCTTGAAGAAAGTAAGAAGAAGGAAGCTGATACCCGAAAGGAGCTTGAGAAAGCCAGAGCAGAGAAGAAGAAGCTTGAGGAGGAAGCAGAGCAGAAAGCTTCCAAGCGCAGGCCTTCAGATCCTTTCAGGACTCCAGAAGACAAGATTGTTCGTTCAGGTTCAGCGCCTCTTTCTGCGGCTTCAGCGACTTCAGGGCCTGAGTCACCTGCTTCAGAGCCCGAAGCAAAGAAGAGGAAGATTCAGTTTGGTTTGGCCAAATTTTTCGGAAGTCCTCAGGAGAAAGCTTCAGCGAGTCCAGTGTCGACTTCAACCGACGTGCGGTTGAGGAACAGACAGCGGAAGTCAAAGACGATGCTTGAGCTAGAAGCTTTGAGAAAACAGCTGTCCAACAGTGTACAGAGCCAAGCTTCAGAAGAAGAGCAGCTTGTTCAGGCGGAGGACGAAGCTTTGGACGAAAAGGATTTTTACAGGAAGGCAGGTCTTAGAGGAGGCAGACCAAAACTAGACGCTTCAGAGAGGAGAGGCGTTTTCGGTGGTTCAGCTTCAAACATGCGAGGGCGCTTCGAGAAAGGCAAAAAGGTTGAGTACACCGCAGTTGACAAAAAAGAGATCTGCGAGAGATTCAGAAAGTTGGCAGAGGAGAGCCGTTCAAAGGAAGCTGCGTTGTCAGAGCTCAAGAAGGGCCTTCAGATTTCCACTGAGAGGCTTCGAGACATTTTGAATAATGAGGCAGAGTGGATACAGATGATTAAGGACAGGCGCTTAGGCACTTCAGGCCTGAAGAAGAGAGGAGTTAAGCCAGGCCGGTTGAGCTTGAGGAACCGTGGCATCAGGCGCAAGGGAGGAGGGAGGAAGAAGGAGTTTGAGCATCTTGTGGTTGAGCTTGGGAGGTGGATTTCAGAAGAAAGAAGCCACGGCCATGCGCTTCAGAAAGCCATGGTGGCCAGGAAGTTTGAGCAGCTCTTACTTCGAGACTCAGAGAGGCTTCTTGAGTCAGCCAGACAGCTTCAAGCTTCCTTTCAAGCATCAGCAGCCAAGATTGAGGCACAGAGGATGTTTCAGAAAGCAAAGAAAATGGCAAATTCAGAGAAGTTTAGGAGAAACTATGTTGAGCGCCTGCTTCAGTGGTGTGGAGCGAAGGTCATGGCTAAGGAACTTACCAGCAACTTGAGCGCTTTGGAGGAAAAGGTGCGAATTCAATTGAGCTGGCAGTCTTTAGACTGGCAGCTTTGGTTGGCAGGATCAGCTCCAAAGGAGGTTCTTGAGGAAGAAGATGTTTTAGACCCTGACTATGTCATTGAGTGCCGAAAGCTGGGCCCTTCTCCAGTTTGCTTTGCGGACCAGATTCCGCTTTGGGCAAAGTGCGGCTCCAAGCGCTTTGTCTTCAGTGCTGAGGAGTTTTCAGGGTCTTCAACTTCAGACCGGGCGCAGTTTGAACTGTTCAGGCAAGACTTGCAAAAAGCAGTTGAATACTTCAGAGACCTTGAGGAGAAGGACAAGACGCAGCTGATTTCAGCTGAACCCAGGCCAGAAGGTTCAAAAGCTTTTGCAATCGCAGGCAGCAGGACGATTAAGGGGCACAGTGAGAACGAGAAGTTCAGAATCACGTTTGAGGCAAGACAGCAGGTCAGCTGGGTTCCAGATCCCAGTGCAGCAGGAGGTTTCAGGCCAGTGGGCTCGGTTTTGAGACCGCTTCTGGTCTTTGCAGGTGCTCACTGTAGGTTGAGCAACCTTACAGATGAGCACACCTTCAGAGAAACAGAGGATTTTCAGGTCAATGGGCAGGACTTTCAGCACGTTGCAGGGCAGAAGACACGTTTGATGTGGAGCCTTGTTGAGTTGAGAAAGAAGGAGCCGCAACTCTTTGAGGACCTGGAGATTCAGCAACAGCCTTCCAGCAATGTTGACAGTGTCATTTTGACATGGTCCATTCAGGAGCAGGCGAAAGTTCAGGCTTATTCAGTTTGGAATCGCGACAGTTTCACCGCGATTTTCAGTGAGCCTGTCATTCAGACGCAGAAACTTGCCTCGCAGTTTAGCAGCATCCTTTTGGGAAAGACAACTCAGAAGATTCAGTTGACAGATACAGACTTTGCCAAAGAGATGAAGGTGGAGTTCAGGAAAGCCATGCAGGACCTTCAGTATGACAAAGGTTTTCATGAGAAGACCACGTTGAGGGACATTCTCGTGGCGTGCAATCAGAGCCATTTGAAGGCAGTTGAGAGAAACATTGAAACCCAGTGGGTATTGAAAGGAGCTGTTCGCAACGGCCTGTTGGCATATGTGCCCACAGTTGAGAATGGACTCGTTGAGATTTTGAGTCCAGAACTTCAGCTGGGATCCCACAGGATCCCGTCGGAGACGTTTCAGCCGCGGTTGAGCTGGATTGATGAGTCAGGAAGACCGAAGAAACCTGATTTCAGCCTTTCAGGACAAGTCTCTTCGATTCAGGATTGTATCGAGTGGTCCTTTCAGAATCCTGTCAAGGATGAGCCAGAGAACCAGCTCGACATCGAAGGTCCTTTGGAGGATGATTTAGCAATTCCATTGCAGAATGCTCTTTACCTTCGTTTGAGCCCAAGTTTCAGGAATGACTTTTCGCGTGCCAAGCTTGATGTTTCCTTCGCCCAGCTTCAGGAAAAAGCTAAGGCAACTTCAGAGAAGAAGACTCAAAGGAGGGAAGAAAGAACTGCGTTGCGAAAACTGAACTTGAAGGAGCTTCAGGCCAGACTCAAGAAGATGAGCAAGAGTGAGGCCATGCAAGAGATCAAGCCAGTGGTTAAGACAAAGAAGGCGACTCAGAAACGAGGGGCTGTAGTAAAAAAGAAGCTATCCCTTAAGAAGAAGATGAAGAAAACAAAGGCAAAGTCAGCGGTAAAGTCTAAGCTTGAGAAGGACGCCAAAGCGATACTTCAGAAAGATGAGCTTGAACAGGCTTCCGAGAAAGCGCCAATAGCGGACATCACGACAGCAGAGAAGGTTTCAGAAGCAGCGAAACCTTCAGCAAAGGGAAGAGGAAGGGCAGCAGGAAAGGGAAGAGGAAAGGGAAGAGGAAAGGGAGCAGCAACGGCTTCAGCAGAGGCTTCAGAAGGCCACAGCGAGGAGAAGATTTCAGCCTTGCTTCCTGCAGGAATCAAAAAGGAGCCGGTTCAAGTCAGGGCTGTTTCAGAGGAAGGAGGGAAAGTTTATTTTGGTTTTGAAGGTGAAGTTGAGAAGCAGGAGTTTGAGACCAAAGGCAAGGATGATTTCATCCACGTTTACGGCAGCAAGGTGATTTCAGTGAAGGTTCAGTGGCTTCAGAAGATTGATGCTACCTGGAGTAAGCCGAAAGAATGGAAGAAGTTCACTTCGTTGAGCCGTCTCCAGGCAGCTACCATTCTGGATACGGCGGGCTTGATGCCGGAGCCGTTCGTTGAGAACACAGATGCACTTTGTCCAGCCATTGAGAAAGATAGCGATTTCAGCATGCAGCACTTCCACCTTTCAAGCCAACTCTTCAGTTGGAATTATCAAGCCTACATGAAGGACGTTCAGATCATCAATCCCTATCTTTTGAAGCAGATCGTTGGAGAGCCTTTGAATGAAGGAGACATTCCAGGTACTCCTCCAGAGGTTTTTCAGAAAGAATTGAAAAGTTTGGCTTCAGGCGCTCTGTTGGTCCTCCTTCCAGTGCATTCAGATAATCCAGCGCACTGGTGCCTTCTTTCAGGGAGCAGAGAGAAGCATTCAGACGATTTCGTTTGGAGGTACAGAGACACTTTGAAAGCGTTTTCAGAGGAGGGCCTTCAGAACGCTCAGTTCTTTGCAGATATCATCAGTGGTTCTTCAGCCAAGTTTGAGAAGATTCCTTGCCTGCTTCAGAAAGGAAGCACTTGCGGCTTCTGGACTTTAGCCTACGCAGAAGTTGAAATCTGCAGCCGCTTTGAAGGACCGGCCAGCAGAGGCTGGATTGAAGACATGGTTAAGGCATGGATTCAGAGAGTGAAGGGCCTCTGGACCCAGCTTGAGAAAGAAGCAGCGAAGCTTCTTCATGTTAAGATTGATGTTGAATGCAAGCAGGAAAAATTGAGGAAGCAGCAGGAGAAAGAACTTGAGAAAGCGAAAAAGACTTTAGACGAGATCAAAGACTTCAACAGCGCTCAGGCCAAGAAAGCTTCAGAATCTCTGCTGAAGAACAGCCAGTTCTTCAGACCCAAGGACCTTTCAGAGGACGCCAAACGGGCAATTTTGAAAGCCAGTGCAGGCCTTGGCGTGTGCTCTCGTTGCAGATGGTCTTCAGGCTGCTTAAGCTGCTCAGCAGAGAAGGCGCTTCAGCACTACTGCAAAGTTGAGGCTCACAAGCTTCAGAAGGTCCCCAAGATTTCAGGACTATGATTGCGTTTCCGGGGGTTTTGCGGTTTTTGTCTTTCTTCTCTTGTCCTCGCCTTCCTCTTCCACCTCTTCTGTCTGTCCGGTCTTTTGTCCAGGGAGGAGATGGCAGGACGGGTTTGAAAAGGTTCAAATAAGAAAGGAATTTAGAAACAGTTTCAACCACCAAATATCAAATTAGACCCCTGAAATCCAAATACGTTATTTAGGGGGGTGCAAACATTCATTATTATTTTGATGTCAGGGGACTTCAAGGCTACCCCCTTTGCGCGATTGTTTTTTTGCATTTTTTTGAAAGGGTTTAGTAAGGAAACCGACCATTTGAGCCTTGATGATTTTTTTTTCACTCCAGAACTTTTCAGGCAAGATTTGGAGTTTGGATTTTACTGCTTCCAGTTCAAAGAGTCTTGAGGCTTGAGGGCTTCAGAAAGGGTTTGAGAAAGGGTTCAAATAGGAAAATTGTTTCACAGGTGAAAGCATATTTCAGAATAATGAGTTGCTTTATTTAGGGGAGTGCAAACATTCATTATTATTCTGATGTGTAGGGTGCACAAATATTTCAGAATACTTTATTTAGGGGGGTGTCCAAACTGATACATTATTTTGATGCCAAGGGTGCACAAATATTTCAGAATACTTTATTCAGGGGAGTGCAAACATTCATTATTATTTTGATGTGTAGGGTGCACACATATTTCAGAGTACTTTATTTAGGGGGGTGCAAACATTCATTATTATTTTGATGTGCAGGGTGCACACATATTTCAGAGTACTTTATTTAGGGGGGTGCAAGCATTCATTATTATTTTGATGTCAGGGGACTTCAAGGCTACCCCCTTTGCGCGATAGTTTTTTTGCATTTTTTGAAAGGGTTTAGTAAGGAAACCGACCATTTGAGCCTTGATGATTTTTTTTCACTCCAGAACTTTTCAGGCAAGATTTGGAGTTTGGAGTTTACTGCTTCCAGCTCAAAGAGTCTTGAGGGCTTCAGAAAGGGTTTGAGAAAAGGGGTTCAACTAGGAAAGGAATTGAGAAACAAATTTAATTAATCGCCAAAATTTAAGACCCCTGAAATCCAAATACTTTATTGAGGGGTGTGCAAACATTCATTATTATTTTGATGTCAGGGGACTTCAAGGCTACCCCCTTTGCGCGATTGTTTTTTTGCATTTTTTGAAAGGGTTTAGTAAGGAAATCGACCAGTTGAGCCTTGATGATTTTTTTTTCACTCCAGAACTTTTCAGGCACGATTTGGAGTTTGGAGTTTACTGCTTCCAGCTCAAAGAGTCTTGAGGGCTTCAGAAAGGGTTTGAGAAAGGTTTCAAATAGGAAAATTGTTTCACAGGTGGAAGCATATTTCAGAATAATGAGCTACTTTATTTAGGGGAGTGCAAACATTCATTATTATTTTGATGTCAAGGGTGCACCAATATTTCAGAATACTTTATTTAGGGGAGTTCAAACATTCATTATTATTTTGATGTGTAGGGTTCACAAATATTTCAGAATACTTTATTTAGGGGGGTGTCCAAACTGATACATTATTTTGATGCCAATGGTGCACAAATATTTCAGAACACTTTATTTAGGGGAGTGCAAACATTCATTATTATTTTGATGTGTAGGGTGCACAAATATTTCAGAATACTTTATTTAGGGGGGTGTCCAAACTGATACATTATTTTGGTGCCAATGGTGCGCAAATATTTCAGAGTACTTTATTTAGGGGGGTGCAAACATTCATTATTATTTTGATGTGTAGGGTTCACAAATATTTCAGAATACTTTATTTCGGGGGGTGTCCAAACTGATACATTATTTTGATGCCAATGGTCATCAAATATTTCAGAACACTTTATTTAGGGGAGTGCAAACATTCATTATTATTTTGATGTGCAGGGTGCACAAATATTTCAGAGTACTTTATTTAGGGGGGTGCAAACATTCATTATTTTTTTGATGTGCAGGGTGCACACATATTTCAGAGTACTTTATTTAGGGGGGTGCAAGCATTCATTATTATTTTGATGTCAGGGGACTTCAAGGCTACCCCCTTTGCGCGATTGATTTTTTGCATTTTTTTGAAAGGGTTTAGTAAGGAAATCGACCATTTGAGCCTTGTTGATTTTTTTTGCACTCCAGAACTTTTCAGGCAAGATTTGGAGTTTGGAGTTTACTGCTTCCAGCTCAAAGAGTTTTGAGGGCTTCAGAAAGGGTTTGAGAAAGGGCTCAAATAGGAAAATTGTTTCACAGGTGGAAGCATATTTCAGAATAATGAGTTACTTTATTTAGGGGAGTGCAAACATTCATTATTATTTTGATGTCAAGGGTGCACCAATATTTCAGAATACTTTATTTAGGGGAGTTCAAACATTCATTATTATTTTGATGTGTAGGGTGCACAAATATTTCAGAATACTTTATTTAGGGGGGTGTCCAAACTGATACATTATTTTGATGCCAATGGTGCACAAATATTTCAGAACACTTTATTTAGGGGAGTGCAAACATTCATTATTATTTTGATGTGCAGGGTGCACACATATTTCAGAGTACTTTATTTAGGGGGGTGCAAACATTCATTATTATTTTGATGTCAAGGACTTCAGACTACCCCCTTTGCGCGATTGTTTTTTTGCATTTGTTGGAAGGGTTTAGTAAGGAAACCGACCATTTGAGCCTTGATGATTTTTTTCACTCCAGAACTTTTCAGGCAAGATTTGGAGTTTGGAGTTTACTGCTTCCAGCTCAAAGAGTTTTGAGGGCTTGAGAAAGGGTTTGAGAAAAGGGGTTCAACTAGGAAAGGAATTGAGAAACAAATTTAATTAATCGCCAAAATTTAAGACCCCTGAAATCCAAATACTTTATTGAGGGGTGTGCAAACATTCATTATTATTTTGATGTCAGGGGACTTCAAGGCTACCCCCTTTGCGCGATTGATTTTTTACATTTTTTTGAAAGGGTTTAGTAAGGAAATCGACCATTTGAGCCTTGTTGATTTTTTTTTGCACTCCAGAACTTTTCAGGCAAGATTTGGAGTTTGGAGTTTACTGCTTCCAGCTCAAAGAGTCTTGAGGGCTTCAGAAAGGGTTTGAGAAAGGGTTCAAATAGGAAAATTGTTTCATAGGTGGAAGCATATTTCAGAATAATGAGTTACTTTATTTAGGGGAGTGCAAACATTCATTATTATTTTGATGTCAAGGGTGCACCAATATTTCAGAATACTTTATTTAGGGGGTGCAAACAGTCATTATTATTTTGATGTGTAGGGTGCACAAATATTTCAGAATACTTTATTTAGGGGGGTGTCCAAACTGATACATTATTTTGATGCCAAGAGTGCACAAATATTTCAGAATACTTTATTTAGGGGAGTGCAAACATTCAATATTATTTTGATGTGCAGGGTGCACACTTATTTCAGAATACTTTATTTAGGGTGGTGTCCAAACTGATACATTATTTTGATGCCAAGGGTGCACAAATATTTCAGAATACTTTATTCAGGGGAGTGCAAACAATCATTATTATTTTGATGTGTAGGGTGCACAAATATTTCAGAGTACTTTATTTAGGGGGGAGCAACCATTCATTATTATTTTGATGTGCAGGGTGCACACATATTTCAGAGTACTTTATTTAGGGGAGTGCAAACATTCATTATTATTTTGATGTCAGGGGACTTCAAGGCTACCCCCTTTGCGCGATTGTTTTTTTGCATTTTTTTGAAAGGGTTTAGTAAGGAAATCGACCATTTGAGCCTTGTTGATTTTTTTTGCACTCCAGAACTTTTCAGGCAAGATTTGGAGTTTGGAGTTTACTGCTTCCAGCTCAAAGAGTCTTGAGGGCTTCAGAAAGGGTTTGAGAAAGGGTTCAAATAGGAAAATTGTTTCATAGGTGGAAGCATATTTCAGAATAATGAGTTACTTTATTTAGGGGAGTGCAAACATTCATTATTATTTTGATGTCAAGGGTGCACCAATATTTCAGAATACTTTATTTAGGGGGTGCAAACAGTCATTATTATTTTGATGTGTAGGGTTCACAAATAGTTCAGAATACTTTATTTAGGGGGGTGTCCAAACTGATACATTATTTTGATGCCAAGAGTGCACAAATATTTCAGAACACTTTATTTAGGGGAGTGCAAACATTCATTATTATTTTGATGTGTAGGGTGCACAAATATTTCAGAATACTTTATTTAGGGGGGTGCCCAAACTGATACATTATTTTGATGTCAAAGGTGCACAAATATTTCAGAATACTTTTTTTTAGGGGAGTGCAAACATTCATTATTATTTTGATGTGCAGGGTGCACACATATTTCAGAGTACTTTATTTAGGGGAGTGCAAACTTTCATTATTATTTTGATGTCAAGGGTGGACAAATATTTCAGAATACTTTATTTAGGGGAGTGCAAACATTCATTGTTATTTTGATGTCTCGGGTGCACACATATTTCAGAATACTTTATTTAGGGGAGTGCAAACATTCATTATTATTTTGATGTTAAGGGTTGATTTTTTTTATTTTTCATTTTAGTATTCCCAAATGAATTGCCTAATTGACAACGAATACATAAAGGGAACTTTCCCCCCAAAAAAAATCACCTATGTATTCACGAATGAATTGCCTAATTGAAAACGAATACAGAAAGGGAACTTTCCAAAAAAAAATCACCTATGTATTCACGAATGAATTGCCCCTAATTGAAAACGAATACATAAAGGGAACTTTCCAAAAAAAAATCACCTATGTATTCACGAATGAATTGCCTAATTGAAAACGAATACATAAAGGGAACTTTCCAAAAAAAAAATCACCTATGTATTCACGAATGAATTGCCTAATTGAAAACGAATACATAAAGGGAACTTTCCAAAAAAAAAATCACCTATGCATTCACGAATGAATTGCCTAATTGAAAACGAATAAATAAAGGGAACTTTCCAAAAAAAAAATCACCTATGTATTCACGAATGAATTGCCTAATTGAAAACGA